TATTCCTAATTAAAATTATTTGAAAAAGGAAAAAAAAAGAAACAACTAATTAATAGAATTTCCCAATTTCTAGATGACAGATTAGAATGGTTTTTTTTTTTTTTCCTCCCTTAATTCGTATATCATGCTTAACTGATCTCTATATTTGAACCATCACCAGATTATTTGATAGTAAAAGAGTAAAAGGAGATTTTATGAGCTTTTGAGTTCTAGTCAACTTCAGAGTCCCAGTGGATTAGTTGAGGTGCACGCAAGTCGATCTGAACACCCCTGTTCAACAAAAAAACAAAAAACAAAGAGATTTTTATATTTGAATTTCACTGTTCGTGGCACCTCTTCTCTTCAACGACGAAATAACACTTCCCTTACTCTCTTATGAGTGGTGTTTTATCAATCTAATTCAGACGGCAAGTCTTTGGGTTAATATATAAATTCAGTCAACCTTTTTCTTTGGTTATCCTTAATACAGAAGTGTTCTTTCTAAACTTTGAACAAAATATATGTATGGAAACATATTCTTAAATCATATTAATGAAACTGTTAAGTATAAAATCATTAATTTCCTCCAATATCTTAATGGGCTTAAACTTATTTCACTATATAAAAACGTTTTCGTAATACTATAAAAGTAAACAAAAGTTTAATAATAGGATTAATTGTAGTTAATTTTTTTTTTCTTTGTGACCAGGTGTGTCCGGGTCAGCTTGTATACATCTCAACTAATCCTTCAGAGCCTTGAAGTTGATAGTCAAGTAAATCCCTTCAGTGGTTACTCCTATTAGCAACCCAAATGAATTGAACTCAGGATCTCTTGAGTAATACACCCAAAAATAAAGACGTCTGATTGGAAAGCCTACATGCAAAATATGCTTGTTGGAATTTTTGCTTCATAGCATTTACTTCGGTTTCTGGAAATAGAATCCGTCTCTCCCTTCTTCTTCTCCCCCATCACCATTTCCTTCTCACAGAAAACAAGCTTTAAAGTCTCAACCTTGCCGCTGGGAGGACGGATCTGACTTAGGGTTGTAAACGAGCCGAGTTGAGTCGAGTATTACCCTAAACGAGCCGGACTTGGTTAAGTATTAAATGAGTTCGAGCCGAGTCACAAGTCAGTCGAGTCAGGAAAACTCAACTCGTTTATAATCAAGCCGGCTTTTGACTCGACTCGAACTCGTTTGACTCGACTCGATTAACTCGAGCTCGAACTGGCTCGATTATGGCTCGATTACGGCTCGTTTGCCCCACTTTTTATATAACCCACAGATCTTATTTTATACAAATCATATCCAATGTTTGATAAATTTGCATCCAAATCAACATAAATCACATCCAAATCAACACAAATCACATCCAAATCAACACATCAACAATGTATTACACAACAAATTATAAAATCCTAAAACTTTAATTGGGGTTTGGGTTAATTTGCAACATTTCAAAACTTTTATATGTCAAATTACAAAACAAACCTAAGACTTTTTTTTTTTTTTTTTTTTTTCGCAGAAAAACCCTAAACGAGTCACTATTGACTCGCAAGCCAAATCGAGCTGAGCCAGGGTAGACTCGAACTCGGTTCAGTACCTAATTGGAGTCTTATTCGAGCCGGTTCGGCTCGTTTATAATCGAGCCGAGTTCGAGTATTTAACAAGCCGAGCTGAGCCGACTCACAAGCAGCTTAGCTCGGTTGACGCCCCTAATTCTTACTGACCTTATAAGTTAGTTTTACATTATTAATGTATCGAGATATATATGAAGTGTAAACACAAAGAAACCCTAAACATACCAATTACCAAATGTATACATACATTGATGACGACAGAGTAGTTAAATTTGACAGAGATGTAGCATGGCTGCTTCTATGAAAAGTCCTTTTACATAACACGAAAAAAATAAAAAAAAGGCTTCTACAGAAGCACTTTCAAATTGGCAGCACGTAGTATTCAAAATATGGACCACCCTTGATGTAAATTATGGCATGTGCTTTCCCAATAATCTGACCCCTCCATGCATGATTTGATGCCTCCATTTTTTCTCTTAATAAGACGCATTTTACTACTAGTGCTCTCCTTTGTTCTGTGTCTGCTAGCTTCTTTTGTTCTTGACTTGTCCCTTCATCAGGGCCACTTTTATTTATTGCCTAATTCAATTAGTTCAACCATCTCGATTCCGTTTTTATTTATATTCACATGTTTACCTCAATATTTCAACAAAGAAACAAAACCCTTCATTTTTATTTTTTTTGGTAACCGGGGTGTTCGGGTCAGCTTGCACGCACCTCAACTAATCTCGGGATCTATTGAACACCTTATAAGCCTAAAGAACCAGGACCCTTCATTTTCCAATCTCCTAATACTAAATAAAAGAAAACCCAGAAAAAAAAATTAGGGTTTATGCATGCATGTCGCAAAAAAAAATTAGGGTCTATGCATGCATGAAAAAAAAAAAAAAAAAAAAAAAAAAAAAAAAAAAAGAGCCTGCTTACAAGCCTATAAAACTAATTTTCAGGATCCGTTGAATACCCTATAAGCCCAAAGGAACAGGACCCTTCATTTTCCCATCTCATAATACTAAATAAAAGGAGAAGAAAAAATTAGGGTTTATGCATGCATGTCGCAAAAAAAAAAAAAAAAACTGCTTACAAGCCTATGAAACTAATCCCCAAGGTCCATTGAACATTTTACAAGCCAAAAGGAACATGACTCTTCATTTTCCCATCTCATTATACTAAATAAAAAGAAAACCCAGAAAAAAAAAAATTAGGGTTTATGCATGCATGTCGCAAAAAACTGCTTAATTGGGACAAACCTTATAGTATTTAGTATTTTACCTGAAGAGATGGGTTGATTTAAAATAAGTAAGACTAACTAATAATCAATTCACATGGAGGTTTTCCAAGATAAGTGCTTTTACTTTCCATTTACAAGAAACAAAACCAAACAGGTAATAAACCCTAATCAATGGCAGTGCCATTTTCAATTTTTCACCTTATGAATTTACCTATCTAGTTAAGATGAACGACGAAAATAGCATCAAATTAGGTATCCCAAATCAATTTTTTTTTTATTTAATAAATGAGAGAGAAACTTGTTCTTTTTCCTTTTCTTCTTTTATACCATAACCCATCTACCTATCTCAATCTCTTCTTCATTTATGTCTACACAAAAAACTACATATATTTACAGATAAACTTTGGAGAGGTTTTCAAGAGAGTAATACCAGCTAGTACAATATATTGAATTCAACTTCAATGTGCAACAGTTCAAACAGTAAATGAGCTTTATATATATATATTTATATCTTGTGGCATTCACCTTCTATATGTTAGGCTTAGACTGAGCATATATATCGAAGAAGAAGTAGAATGAAGAAGGAAGAAGCGTGTAAGTTTCTTCAAAATTCAATGATATTTCAGGGGTGAGGTGAATAATGTAAATGGCAGTTGGGCATTAATATATAGAGTAAACGAACTTTTTTCCCACCCAAGGTTTGCCTTAACTTTTCCACTCAAAAGGTTTCAAAATACTACTTTTCCTCCCAAAGTTAATATTTTGTTACTACCCAAAGCCGATTCTAATGGATTCTGACAACTAAAATTCTCTCTACTACCACCATTTGAAACTCTGATCTCTTTTCTACAAAATACCCTCTTACTCCGACATCTTGATTACTTACCGATTGTTGGCCACTACAAAGTTAGGGTTTCATGTTCTTAGCTGATTGGTCGACATTATGATAAATAATATTCAATCGATCACCAATTCGATCCACTAGCCTTCACTCTACAAAAATCCTATACCTTGGCTCCTGATAACTCGTTGAACGTTGGCTGAGAAAGTGAAGTGTATTAACAGATATAAACGTTGGTGGGAAAGCGGTGTTTTGAACTTTTTTTTGGGGGGGAAAGGTCATTGAGGAAACCTTGGGTGGAAAAAGTTGTTTACTCTTAATATATATAATATATATATATATATATTATATATATATATATTAAAACCGAATTCTCTACACAATTACCAATGAATGTAACTAACTAGCTACCTCCAACGACTTCCTCCCCTATACTCTACTGCTTCATTTTCTATTTCACCAACGTTCAATGAGTTACCTTAGCTCTCCATAACTCATTGAACGTTGGCTAAGAAAGTGAAGTGTATTAATAGAAAAGTAATGTTATAGTTACTGAAAGTAGCACACCGAATTCATGCATCAAATGATGTGGCACAATCCTGACCGTCGATTAATTATAAGTTAATATTAATAGACGGTCGGATTGTGCCACGTCATTAGGTGCATAAATTCGATGCGCTACTTTCGGTAACTGTATCATTTTTCTTAACATAATATAAACGTTGGGTGGGAAAGCGGTGTTTTGAAACTTTTTGGGGAAAAAATAGTCATTGAGGCAAACCTTGGGTGGGAAAGAGTAGTTTACTCTTAATACATATATATATAAAACCTAACTCTGTACACAATTACCAATGAATGTAACTAACTAGCTACCTCCAACGACTTCCTCCCCTACACTCTACTGCTTCATTTTCTATTTCACCAACACCCATTTAAGCCCCTCTTCCCTTTTATATTTCCACAACCTAACCCACCTTCTTAATTTATTTCTATCCAGCATATTGGTTTTGCCATTTCGGGGTCCAAAGTGTCATGTTTTAGAAATGAGAGGAATTAAAAAAAATTAAAAAGATAAAAAAAAAATTTAATGAATAAGGGGGGGTCAATAGAAAAATTGAAATCAAATCATTGCATTCAGTGGTGACGTGGCACACAAGTGATGCATTTTGACTCATTAAAATTTTAACATCGTAACAGAATAACAGTAACTGCGGCGTTAGCGCACCGTCATGTCACGGTTAACAGATTCTCTTCAAACGAATGTTGGCCCTTGATTCAATCGACGGCTCTTATCACACCACACCACCCCTCAAATCACTTATTTTTAACCCCCTCCACCCTCTCTCTCTCCTCTCTCTCTCTCTCAACCAAAAAAAAAAAAAAACAAAAAAAAACAAAACAAAATTTAAAGTATTTGCAGTAATGGAAGACTGTACTAACACTAAACGAATTGCTGGTACCGTAGAAGAAGAGATGAAAGAAGCAGAAGAGACTTCAAACACAAGCTTGCTATCTAAGAGGACAAAATTTACTTCTCAACAGTTGGAGGATTCGGAGAACAACGACGAGGAGTACTACAACAACGTCTTACCGTCAGCCAACAATGAGCTCAAAAACGATCACGTTTCTGTCCAAACGGCGACGTCCTCTGCTTTCTTCTCGGCTCCTCGCTCCTCCAGCAATGACTCGCTTCAAATCGTCAAGGATTCCTTGAGTTCCACAGATCTGGAGGTCAATTTTAAACTCTTAACTTTCAAAAAAAAAATTTCTCTCAAAATACTTTCGAGTTCTCTCTGTTTTCGTGTTTCTGCTTCCTCTTTGCTTCAAAAAAAGAAAGCAAACAACACAATGTTCTCTGCATTTCAGAAATTTCCATTTCTCATGCTTTTATTTTATTTTATTTTTTTCAGTTGGGACTGAGGGGTCGTCATAATAAATTTCGCGTTTATTTAAGGGAGGTTACCAGCTTTGAAACCGATATTTCTACGAGCAACAACAATTTCAGGTTTACAATTATTTACATTAATGAAACGAAAATCTAAATGAATCGTCGTTTCAGTTTTTTTTTCTTTTCTTTACGTTTCAATTTACTGTATAAAGCCAATTTTAGGTTTTCTTGCAGGGAGGCGAGTCCGTTGAGAGAGATTTGCGTAGCCTCACAGAAAGCCTCAATGGACTCAGTACTGGCGAACAAGCCGCCAACGTCTCGCCGGGGAATTCCGCCGGCGGTGACTGTTTCAGCGGCTAGGATGCCGTCACTGGTGGAGATCGATGAGTTTTTCTCTGCAACTGAGAAGAACGAGCAGAAACGATTCGCAGAGAAGTGAGTAGAGTTTGTGTTATTTTTTGTTTAGTGCGCAGATAAGGACTGACACTCAGTCTGCGCATTTTAGCACAGTAGATAATCGAATTCTAACTAAACGAATATTTTTTTTTCATAATTTTTTTTTACAGGTACAATTATGATATCGAGAAGGATGTGCCGCTTGAAGGTCGCTACCAGTGGATTCAGTTGAAGCCTTGAAATGGAAAAGAGAGAAAGAGAGGGGGACAAAAAAGGCTAATTCACAGTGGGTAGTATAGAAAATATGTGACAAGTGGGTTGGTTTATTAATGGTTGACATTGTACAGCTTTCTGCCTTTCTCTATCTATCTAAATATATGTAAGAAGCTAGCTCAGTTCAGCTCAAGCTCACTCACTCTGGTTTTCAGTACAAATACATTAATCAAAAGAGAGAAGCTTCTTATTCTACTTATATATATGAATAAAAATTTCACGCACTTCCATCCCCATTTTGCTTTGCTATGTCTCTTCGTCCCTGTTTCTGGACACAGTAAACCAGAGAGAATTTGATATTATTATACAAAGTCCTGATAAAATTTGTGATGTTGTATCACTTCACAGCATCTGACAAAATTTTAATTTGATAATAGGCATATTTTGTGGCTGGTTCTGGTTATATTTTGGAATGGGTAAAATTTGTTTTGTTTGATGAAGAGAATGTGAGCATTAATTGATGGATGATTTTTTCAAAATTGAAAGGCATTTTTTGTTTGAGCCATGGTTTTGGGGTTTTGGCTGGTTCTGTTGTTGGGAGTGAGAGATGATGATTGGTTTGTTTTCAGCTTTTTCTCTGGAGTCTGCGGTTTGTTACTACTTACTACTACTACTAACTTTTCTTCTTTTTTTGCTTTGGGGGCTAATTTTGGAATATTCGTTTTGAAATATCAGGATAAGATTCTTTTAGGCAGCAAAATCATTACCCAACTGGCTGTGCCTGTGCCAGTGCGCCTCGCCTGCCCCTCCTTCTCGCTTGCAGCTGCAGTTTGTTTGTATGGCAAGACCAACAGTGGGACCGTCTCAATTCCTGAAAAGCAGCTACAATTTTCATATGCGTTGTTTGCTTGTTGCTTGCTTCAATATGCCAATGCAAAATTACTAAAAAGGTCACGTTTTATGAAATTGAATTATATTGGGTGGGTTCATTCATTATGGTTTTAAAACTTTTGAGTACAAGAAATCCTCCCAAAAAATCTGCATTTTATTCTTCTTTTCCCTTCAAAAAGCTGACAGGATTTGCTGTATATTGTGAATTGTCTTTTGCAATCAAAGTAGGAGGAGCAAGCAATTTCTCAGGCCAGAGAGAAAGAGAGAGAGTCAGCTTTCCCAGGAAACAATCAGCCAAGGCCAGATCATAACCCTTAAAAAGATTGCAGGACAGAGGGATAACGAAGGTGGTGGCAGAGAAAGTTTCATTCTTCTTTCCTTTTCACCATGACCCATGTGAAGAACAAAAAAAAAAAAAAAAATTCAGGGGGATGCACGTGCCTGTTAAATTAATTAATGGGTTTGCTTTGGATCTGGTGAAGGATTTAATTAAATGAGGTGGCAGGGGATATGGGATTGGGATTGGGATTGGAGATAGAATGTTGCTTATTCATGAAGAAGAAGAAAATCTATAAATCTGTTTGTTCCCCTCTCTCTATGAAACTGATTATTATTCTTTCTAGGAATTACTATTGAGACTGACTGTTTTTTTTTTTTTTTTTTGTTCCTTCCAGGTTTGTTGATTTCTATGTTAATCTAATAATTAATTAATTATTTAATTAATCAATTACTTGCCCAAAATGTGACATGGACCCTTCTCTTCTGTCCCTTTCAGCCAAAGCAGAAGCTGTCAAAGGCGAAGTGATCATAGAGCTGATGCTGCAAGTGCTGCCTGTCAAAATATATGGTACTTTTTTTCTCTCTTTTGGCAGCAGCCAAGGTTATGTTTTATTAAACAGTACAGTGTACGCCACTGTAAATTATCAAAGGGTTGAGAATTGAAGTGCAGGAGTTAAAACACACCAGTTATATAAACATCAAACTAGTTGATCGAAGGGTTGAGATTTGAAGTGCAGGTTTATTATAAGTATATAAACACACAGAAATTTACAATTTTTTTTTTTTTTTTTTAAAAATAAAATTCTAATTTCGCTAGAAATATCATAGTTTCGGTTGGGTCAGTTCTATTAGCAATTCGCGGACTTCATGTCCATGTGGGCTTTTAAAGTCTTGTATTAGACTTCGTTTAAATGATACGGGCTTCTAATCTGAGCCCGCTTTGTATCTTCTCATTATTTTGGGCTCGGAGCTCCCACATTAGCCCAACAGAAGAATTCCCCCACTACCCCTAGATAATAAGCAGGTAAACATTCATACAAAATTGATTAGAGAGTAAGCAACCCAACAAAAGAGTTCCCTGAGACTTTGGAATTATCGACCGAATAAGAGCTCTAGTGATTACCTCTATTAGTAATTGAGTAGAGACTTGAAGTCAGGAGCTTTTGAGTAATATATCCAAGAGTCTCTATCGAACCACTCGACCATTAGGAATTAGTTAAAATTGATTTATTTCATTTACTTGTAAGGATGATTAATTAATTAATAATTAAAATTATTCATGAAGATATAATTACACATCATAATTATTATAACCCAGAAGATATCGGGTGTGTTTGTTTTATTATTTTGAGTAATATTTTTGAAAAAGTTGAGTTGAATTATTATTATGAGGATAATATTTGAATTTGAAAATGTCTTTGATAAGATTATTAATCCCTTATATTTGTTAATTTAGTTAAACACCATTTACAATAAAAGTTTTTAAATTAACAAAAACAACCCCACCCACCCATTAAATGCCGGCAGCCAATCACCAGCTGTCGGGAATATGTGGGTGGGGTAAGGTGTTTTTATCAATTTATAAACTTTTATTGTTGGGGTGTCTAGTTAAATAAACAAACTTAGAGGGTTAAAAAAATTTAAATATTTTGAGCTGAATATAATAGGATTGAATCTTGAGAATAATGGAACAAACATATATTTTGAAATTTGAATATGTATCTTATGATACGATACGTATCCATTCGTATTTTTAAAAATATCGATACAACTTTATTAATTTAGGCCAAAGGCCCAAAAAAATTTCTAGTTGTATTTGGGTGTCACCCAACCTGGTTCACTAAAACCTACCCAAATTTACCTATTTTGCATGGAAAAAGTGAAAAGGAACAAGTGTTGCCCATTTTGTATGATAATAATAATACAAGTGAAGATATAGATATTAACATTGATCTTGGAAATGATATGAATAGTTGAGAGGAAATGATATAAATTCTTAATTTTGTGATTAATTTTGACTACGTAATACCATAATTTAAAACCAATAATACTACAAAATTCCTTAATTAATCTTTGGAATGATATTGGGTCTGTTTGTTTTATTATTTTGGATAGGATTTTGGGAATAATATTAGGTAGTTGAATAAGGGAGTATTACGAGGTAAAATTTAAAAATTTATAAAAAAACCCGCTAGGTTTGCTAATTTAACTAAACACCCCAATAGATAATTTTTTTGTAAAATGACAAAAACACCTGCACCATCCGCAGTGCCAGATTCCGACCACCACCGTCAGAATCTGGCTGAAAAATTGTGTTACGACACAAACTGGTCGGATCTGGTGATCTGGCCGTCGATATAGCTTTTTCCGGCTAGATCCATCATAGATTTAGTCGAAAAAAGCCAAATCTACGGTCAGATCTGGTCGTCGACTGTCGCAAAAGTCCATGTTTGGCCGTCAGCGATGGCCAAAGATATGGCCTTCATTGTCGGTCAACGATGGCCAAGATTTGACTGTCGCTGATGGCCAGATCCACTGTGGGAAAAAGGCCAGATCGGTGAATTACTGGCCAGTTTTGGTTGTGGTGTAGGCCATTATGACAGATTCCGGCTACCACTGACGGTGGTTGTCGGAATCTGGCAAGTATGAGTTTATAGGGTTTTTTTGTTAATTTTTAAACTTTTTTTTAGGGGTATTTAATGAAATTAATAAACTTAATAGGTCTAAAAGTAGTTAAAAAATATAATAATATTTCTCAAATAATGTGTCAAATAATATTTGGAGAATAAGATTAGGAATATGGGTAGAAATAATATGCCAAACACCCATTAATTTTTAAAAAATTGTAATTATTTTATTTATTATTATTATTATTTTTAAAAGGCGTATCCGCGATAACCATGTTTTGAATATGATACGATAAGATTAATAAAACACATTTAATTAATTTGGGATAACATGATGATCTAACCACCCAAATAATAGCTGCAACCAAACAACAAATAACCAACCGTTCAAATTTCAAAGGTCAAATTCCAATTACTGTCTCGTCTCGTTACGTGAAAGAAAACGACAACCAATAACAACCTCAAACCGACGTCGTTTCCTCACACACCAAATCCATTCTCATATCACTTATCCTAAAATGCGCGTGGTGCGACCAGTGTGACGTGGCACCTCCTCCTTTTTCATCCACTCATCCGATCATCTCACCATCTCACAACTCGTTATTTCTGAAATAAACAAAATAAATAAGATAAAAACCAAACAGAAAAGTCTCGTGCTCAACCAAAGCACGCATATTATAATCTGTTCGTAGAAATGCTCGGTGGTGGGAGTAACGGTGATAGTACCGTGTTTTGGAGCCGGAGAGACCCGGCGTTCCGCGGAATTGTTGTGTTTTTCGCTTGGGTTTCAGTTCATGACAATCAGCTCAGAAGTTTTGTCGATTTGTACTCTTCTCTTGGCTGGAATTCTCTCGTCTCTCATGCCCATTTCTTCGACGCGTAACTTCTCCTCTCTGTTAATTACGCTTTTATTTGGGTTTTGTTTGTTTATTTATTAGGATTTTTTTTTTAAATGTTATTTTGGTCAAAATTTGTGCAGATTTTATCCCGAAAGGGCTACATCGATAGCATTTGTTCTTGTCAACGACCTTGTGGAGGTAATATTTTATTCTAAAATCTTACTGAATATGTGAAATTCTGATTGAATCTGTTGTGTGGTTGGTCGTAACAGTGAAAATTTGAGTTACTAGTGAGATTAGGTTAGTCAATTTAAAGAGAATTAGGCGTTTATGCAGCTTTGAAAATTTTCTCTTTGATACATGAGTTGAAACTTAGCTTTGATTTGGGGTGTGTAGGAGCTGAAGATTAAACCATGTCCTGTGGTTTTCGTGGCTTTTTCTGGTGGTCCGAAAGCTTGCATGTACAAAGCTTTTCAGGTAAATTAATTTTAATTTCTTGTTATAATTTGTGATTTTTAGAAGTGCTTGCGGCTGTAGAATTAATTTTTTTTTTTTTTTTCTTTTTCTTGCATGTGATGCTGCAGATTATTCTGGAAACATGTGATGGTCATCTTACTGCGGTATGTGCCATGTCCTTTCTAATTTCAAATTTAAACTTATTGAGTTATG